ACCAGCTGCATCAATGCACCATTGCACTCCTTTTTGGCAGTCTATGTACTTTGCGGGCCACTGAGGACTTGTGCTCCGTTCACCCCTGAAAAATTCTGAGGGCACTTAGCTGAGGCAGGTTGGAGGAAGAGAATGACGACTACAAGGGATTACACCGGCATGCCCAAAATGCAAAACATATACATGAGGTCATCTTAAATATTGTCCAAGAGGCCTTGGTGTATGGGCAAGTAGACTATGACATGGTGACTTCAAGTGTCACTAAATTCCTAGACAGTAAAACAGAACCATATTGGTCTTGCCTAAGGAACCCCAGGTGAATGGTTCCCTGGTGATGGATTACTGAGGTGATGCATGGGAATGTCCCTAAGAACCTACACAGGTCTTATCCTCCACCCACAGAGCAATGACAGTCAGGCAAGAACACACCCAATTCCCCCTGCTCTCCTCCCTGCTGCTACAACCCAAGCAGGAATGATAAGGAAGAGAAGCCCACCACCTCCCCCCTCCCCAAGCCAGCTTCCCATTGGCAGCAGGCCAGAACTGACCAAGGGAAGAAGTCTCAAATTACACTTAGAATTTTGACTCATTATGTTGGTGACTGAGATGACATTGTTTTGGGACCTTAAGGAGCTATACAGTAGGACTTCTGAAAAGCTAATCACGAACACCAAAACTCTGACTTTCTACCCTTCCTCTGAATTTACACCTCAAGACAAGAAAAACTCAGTCCACTGAACTCACTGAGCCACAAAACGCTGTCCCAACCTCTGAAATCTGTTTTCAAAATTCTGGCTAAGACATCATTTAAAGGTAAAACATCTACTAAAACCAAAACAAAGAACCTCATAATGCTTCAAAAATGTAAGGAAGTTGGAGTAGAGATTCCACAGTCCTGAGGTGGTAGCGTCGGTTCCTGGAATGACTGGTCACATAGGCATGTGACCCCCCACACCAACGTGCAGTCCCCACCCATTGCAGAATGAACAAAGGGATGTGTGTGTGTGTGTGTGTGTGTGTGTGTGTGTGTGTGTGTGTGTGTGTTCTTTATACACCTGTAACTTTTGTCCTTTGTGGTGCTAATAAAAGCAAGGTATAGCTTTATCCCACTGAACTACATCTCTGGCCTTAAATGTAACTGTTATTCTTTTGCTTAAATTAGATATGAAGAAGAGGCCCAAAATGAGACATAATAGACATGTTAACTAGTTTATTATAGGCCCTGCAGAATAGAGAGACTAAGAGAGAAGAGGAACAGGGTTAATGGCTGACTGCCATGGCTGGTCACCATAGAGAGGCAGAGAGTGTAAGAAAAGAGAAGAGGAGAGTAGAGAGAGCATAAGTGGGCAGGGGTCTGTCTTTTAAAGGGTCTGTCTTTGCATCTGCGTGCAGACTTAGTTCCCATGGAACCCTGGGCTGACCAGGGTACTGCCTGAGTGGATTCTGCCAGGTAACAGAGGCAGACCAGCATAATGCCTGAACCTTTCAGTAACATTTACTGTAAGTGCCCCACTCACTGTCACCCATTTTCAAAGAGCAAGCTGCATGTTATTTAATATCATTGAGTAATGTTTGGCATACATAAATGTTAATGATTTTGTTTTTTATTTTGTTACTTTATTTTGGTGTGATAAAGGGGTGCATTCCTTGTTCTTGCCACCATGTGGGTTCTGGGGATTGAACTCAGATGGTCAGCCTTGGTTATCAGGATTGGCAGCAAGGGCCTTTACGCACTAAGCTATCTTAATGTCATCTTATTATTTATTTGGGTATGTGTGTGCTCCAGAGTGCCTGCGGGTGCCCATGTGGAAACCAGAAGTTATTAGTGTCTTACTCTTTGCATACTCCTTATCATCATCATCACCATCATCAAATACAGGGTCTTCCACTGAACCTGAAGTTCATTGATTCAGCTATAAGGGTTGGCAACTGAGCCGCTGGGATCTGTTCATCTCTACATCCCAGCTTTGGAGTTACAGGCATACACTCATTGGCTATGCCTTGCTTTCACATTGGTGCCAGGGATCCAAACACTGCTCCTCATGTTTGAGCATCAAGCATATTACTAGCTGAATCATCTCCCCAGACCTTATTTTGCTTTTTTTGAGACAGAGAGACTCATGTGCTCAGGCTGGCTTCACACTGGCTATGTAACCAGGGAGAGCCTGAAGTTCTGATCCTCCTGCCTCCACCTCCCCAGTGTAAACATTGGTCTTACAGAAACCAAACAGAGAAAGAATACACATCCCTTTAAAGTCACCATTTTTAATAAAAAATTTTCTCATGTTGTATACAAACCAAAATTCCAAACATGCAAGCACCATTTCTGAATGATTGTAAGATCATCTGGGTACAGTGGGAATCAAATCAACAATCTAAAGAGATTATCTTTAGCAGAAATAATTTACTTGGGTCAGCCACAGCCCAGAGCTCAGGCACAAGAACAACCTCAGCTGAACCTCACTCTTTCCCATCACTTTGGAGCAAGATTAGGACAGCAGCCCTAAGACTGGAATGCTCAGTGTGCGTGATCAACAGACACATGAGCTCTTTTTAACCAACTTGTTTGATGAGTTGGTGACTTTGCTACACTTCTTGAGGAGAAAGTAGTTTCAGTGCAGGAGATGAAGCCTGCCATACCAAACTATCAGCTAACACGATAGACAAAGCCAAAGAAAGGAGGCTCATAAGAACTTCAATCTACAGCTGTGTAAAATAGGAAACTGGATGGAAATTCTTAGTAGTAGATGGTAGGGTCTGGCATGAAGAGATGACTGGCTGCTCAGGGAAGAGAGCTGCTTCTGTCCTGTAAAATTCTTATGGAAAAGAAAAATCCAAAAGGATTTAGTGCATTCAGTTTCTGCAAAACATGCATGAGGAAATAATCTGTTAAAGACTTGGAGCACATTTTAATTTCTAATTCTAAATCTCCATTTAGGTCTTAAAAGCTTTGAAAGAACAGGTTTAAGGCATCAAAATGACTAATTATAGATGATAATAACACAGGCTGGATCAAAGGAGGCAACTGGAGGCGTTTTAATTGGAAATAAGCATTTGAGATAATGTTAATAGCAGTGCAGAAAAATGAAGTTAAAAAAAAACAACAACCCAGTGTTAAGAAGTCTCTGTCCTGGGTTTGTTTTAATCATCTCCTCCACAGAGGATGAGTAGGACCTTCCTGTAGTCTCCGGAAGTGTCGCCCTGGGAGAAAGGAGAGCACAGTTACCGCAAGTTAAGTGGTTCTTATGTTTACACAGTTCAAAAATCACCTAAGTTCATTTGCAAACTTGGCTAGATTTTTCTTAGTTCCTCAGAAAAATGCTTTTTATTTCAAAAGTAATATTTTGGGCTGGAAAGATGGCTTGGGCACTAAGATCACAGAGAACCTAAGTTTGGTTCTTGGTGCTCACAGTTGTCTATAACTACAGGTCCATGGGAATCTGGCACCTTCCTCTAGTTTCCTTGGGCACTGCATACATGAGGCATATACATGCATACATACATACATACATACACATTTACAAACATATACACAGATATACATAAATAATCTTTTAAAAATAAAAGTAATACTTGTTCTGTGTTTTTAAAAAAGCACTTAAAAGAAGAACATAGAAGCACCCATAATCCATGATCTATGGATCACTGTTGTTTACATTCTGAAATGATCCTATCCCCCAGTCTTTTCTCTGTACGTATAGATCCCTATGTGATGAGACTGTAGTACAGTAACTATTTATGTCCTTATTATTTTTGGTGGTGCTAGGGACTGAACCCATGGCCATCCTCACTCTAGGCAAGTGTAGGCAAGTGCTCCATCAATGAACCACACACCCAACCTCACTATCCTGACTTTTTATAACAATATTATTTAATGATTACAGGATATTTCCCTCCCCATTGTCAGATGTTTATATGGTCTCTGATGTTTTATTTTAACAAACATTGCTGTATAAAGCACCGTGAAGCTGTGTTTTTATGAATTTCCCTCATAATTTGCTTTGAATACTTTTCATAAAAAGAAAATTACTAGGTTAAAATGGCAGATTTTTCTAATGCTTTTCATGTGTTGCAAAATAGCCTTCTAGAGCGGTCCTATAATTTCTACATGGAAATGTTTATGAGCTAATAAATACATTGCAGTTTTCCTATTTGTTTTTTTTTATTTATTGATAGTTTTGGCACTGGGGATTGAACCCAGGGCTTGTGTACACACTAAGCAAGCAATACCCCAAGCCCAATAAATCCGTTTGGGTTACTTCTTATTGGGCACTAAAACAGATGGAGCCTCTGACTTTAAGAGTTCAAATTTTAATTTCTGTCAAAATGAATAGTAATATATTATTAATTTGTTCCATTATCTGTGAAAGAATAAGTATGTATTAAAGTTGCTTACTGGCATAGTACTTTTGTCATTGTCTTTTTGTGGCACTGTCCCAGTTAGGTTTCTGTTGCTATGATAAAGACTGTGATCAAAGCAACTTGGGGATGAAAGGGTCTACTTGGCATATATACCCCAGGTCACAGTCCAATGAGGGACACCAAGGCAGAACTCAAGCAGGAACCTAGAGGCAGGAACTGAAGCAGAGACCATGGAGGATGTGCTTGTTGCTTTGTTCCCCCATGGCTGGCTAAGCCTGCTTTCTTTTCTTTTCTTTTCTTTTCTTTTCTTTTCTTTCTTTTTTTTGTTTTTGTTTTTTTGGTTTTTTGAGACAGGGTTTCTCTGTGTAGCTTTGATTTGGATCCTATCCTGGCACTGGCTCTGGAGACCAGGCTGGCTTCGAACTCAGAGATCCGCCTGTCTCTGCCTCCCCAGTGCTGGGATTAAAGGAATGCGGAATGCTTAAGCCTGCTTTCTTATGCACCCCAGGACCACCTGCCTGAGGGTGGCACAGTCCACAGTGGCCTGGGACCTTCCACAACAATTATCATTGAAGAAAATGCCCCACAGGCTTGCTTGCCTATTGGCCAATCTGGTAGGGGCATTTTCTCAGCTGAGGTTTCCTATTCTCAGATAACTCTAGCTCATGTCAAGTTGACAACTAACCAACACCAGCAGGAGTTCCAAAGCTCTGTGACAATTTACTCTCTCAATCCTCCCCCCACCCCCATGACTGTGTGTGTGTGTGTGTGTGTGTGTGTGTGTGTGTGTGTGTGTGTGAGTGAGTGTGTGTGTGTGTGTGTGTG